CTCTGATAATGCGCGGCATCATTTGAGAATCCAATAGCAGAGCTGCATTTAGAGAGCCTGAGCATTTTTCAGCATGCTTTTGTAATGTTACTATGTTCCCTATGTCTTGAAATGAAGAATTTTTGAACTAAAAAGAGTCTAACTCACTCAGAAATTCTTTTCATCTGAGCAAATAGCTTAAGAGAAAACCACTTAATTGTAATAAAACATTTGAATGCATGCACAACTCATTAATAAGCATGTTTCCAAGTGCATTTATGGTGCACAGTTATGAAAACAAACCTTGGCATGTATTAACAGCTAATAAAACCCATCCTGCTACGTCGTGCTAATCATGGCCTATCCTATTTAAGCAATTTCTTGAAGTGTCTATCAAATTTGAGTGCGCTCTGTTCGACTCCGCGGTTTGTAAACATAAATCCTGTTGAATGCTTTTTAGCTCTCAAATTCTTTGCCAAAATGCGTGCTCTGTCCTATTTGCAGACATAGTTCATATCTAAAAACTCCCACAAATGAGAAGGCAGGCATTCCACACTCGGGTGACAGCAACTGCATGCTACAACGAAGCAATGGAGAATCAGCCTCGCTGATCACCAGCTCAGGCAGGATACAACTGGGGACAGCGGTACAACAGTCCATCCATTTTCCTGGTCATTTACAACACGTGAAAATGGGATCCCAGAGTATTCTGGGACCAGGACTTGGGTTTTCATCGGAACCAATCTCCAGAAGTGTATCTTTAGCCACAGTTATCAGGAGAGTGTTTTCATGCATAGCTCTCTTCCTCTTGCTAGCACTAAGTCTTGGTCACTTTTTGACGGTAAGGTTGCTCAAACACTGCAATAGGTTCCCATGGAGGCTGTAGAGTCTCTGTTCATAGAGATAATCAAAAGCCATCTGGACACAGCCCTGCCGAGCCAACCCTGCTTAAGCAGGGGGTTGGACCAGATGATCTCAGGAAGTCCCTGCTAATGTCAGTAATTCTCTGATGCTGTGCAATTTTGTCATTCTCTGTCCTTATCTGCAGTTCTTGAGTAGGAGCAGAAGCATCCTCACATTTTATGTCCCAGTTCTCACCTACCCAGCAGTAAGCTGGGTAGATGCTCTTCTGCAAAGCAGAGCAGCATCTTCAGGGACAGCCGATGGAAGGTTCCTCCAGTTTCCCATTTAAGGATGCTGCTGTACACACTTCTTATGACTTAAATCCCTTCAATCTCTGCAATTCAGAACATGCAGTCAGAGGCCCCACAGCTGTACACAGTGCTCTGATCCCATGCCATGTTCTTACAATCTCCTTTCTATTGTGGAGATACCAAGGGACTAAGATACACTGAAATGGAAGAGGAGATCATAGCAATCAAAGAAGGGTGTAAGACAGAGGTATCGATAAAGTAGATGTCATGAGAATTTCTGTTTAGCACCAGTGCTGTCTACAACCAGAGCACAGAGTAGGAAATTGCAGTAAAATGCAAGACTTGCCATTGAGCAAGTGATGGATGAGCAGGGAAGCATCGGCTGGCATGTCCCACCTCAGTCCTCGCATTCACATCTGGGATAACCACACACACAGAGCCAGCAGGAAAGGATGACAGTGGGGGCAGGAGCATTCTCTCATTTAAAGAAATCACAGTTTTCACTCCCATAAATAATAATACATATAAAATAATAAAATCTGTAATTTCACCGTACCTAGTGCTCTCCAAATGAGGCAGAAAATGACAGTGAAGCAAATGTACGGCCAGTTCCACTCGTGATTTTCTCCAATGGTGGAAACTCCAAGAAAGATGAAGATGAGGGTATCGCTAACGCTGCTCCACATCTTCATGAAGTATTTGACTGTGGTGTGAGACTTCAGCGAGATGTTGGCCTCCACGTAACGTTTCATGCCCATGGCACAAGCAATGATGCTGAGAAAATGAAACAAGAAATTTTTCCACTTCAGCACACAAAATTGACACATTGTCATTTACAAAAAGATAGGCTTCATCAAGTCTTAGATGTTCGCAGACATCTCACTGGGTAGCGATTCGCTTCCCACGTCAGTCCGATAATACCAGGAGGACCACCAGGACAATAAGACAATACACAGGTTTGACCAGGCAGTCAGAATCTGTTTTTCAACAGATAAATGTTGACTGTGGGTTATTTATCACAGCCACACAGCAATACCTACATTTAACCACGCCAAACTCTTCCCATCACAACATACTGTTTTCAGCTCTTTAACTTTGCCAGACTCTCACCACCTGGACTGCAGTTTCATGCTTAGGAGCCCACATTACCTATTTTGCACAGATGGGAAAGACATTTGAGAGAATGGGAGGTTTGTTTCTCAGCATGAGGAATGTGGAAATAGGACTCCTGTAAGTTTGGTTGATATCTGGTCCCTGCAGCAGATTCTTGTAGGACTCTGAAGCAGTGCAGTTTGAGAGCAGCCTGAATACTGTAATTCTTCACTCAAGGGACCAAAGCTAACCTAAAGTTGGAGAAACTCAAGCATATGACATACCTGACACCGTGTATTTCTAAGTCTGTCCGGACTTGCACTGTGTATTATTTGGACGCAGATAGGAAGCCATTGACTCCATGCAACCAAGAGACAATAAAATGCTCGAGCACACTCATAAGGCTGCGCAACGAGCCAAGAAATGCTGTCACTCCAGTCGGAACATCTGATCTCCTCAGGTATCTCCTATCTGAGGTCACTTCAGAAGTGTGCGGCACCAATTAGAACTTCTGCCTTGCAGTTGTTCACAGATAATTGGTTCTCCACGTTACGTGTGGTTAGCCTAATTCATCAGCTTTTCAAATCAATACATTTTCAGGCCAGCAATCTTAGAAGGTCAAAACAACTGAGTGCTTAAAGTCAAAGCTACATTTTTTATATTTTAACCTGGACAGAAACACTTTGTTCTAAATATTGTACCAGCGATAGCAAAAGGGCTTTACATTTCCAAGATCTGCATTTCCACCGGTATTTGGTGAGGCCACCCACCTGGATCTTTATTGCACTAAAAATTCCTTTCACAGGGGACATGACGGTCACTCTCTTTACATTACACACGCAGACAAGCCCACAGAGCAGCAGATCCTCGGCTTGCAGAAGCACACCTAGGTCTGGCAGACTGACTTTAATCACCAGCTGGGACCAGGGCAGGTAACCGACCCACGTCGATACAAACAGGCGTTATGGTAGGTGGAGGCTGTCGCAAGCCGTTATGCGTAATATATCAGCCAGAAACTATTCATAAACTAGCTGTGCGACTACTGCTTTGCAGTGAAAATACCACGTTTAACCCCAGAATTTCACAAGAGACAATCTTTGCATTATTTGGGCTTTGATGGAAAAAAAACAAAAAACCAAACCAGGATTGTCCGCTTGCCCCAGCGAAGGGGACAGGTTGCAAATGGGCAGAGCTGACTCTGCTGTGCTTGGGGCTTTACAACCTGTTTGAAGCCAAAGAACCCGATTTCCTCTGCCTCAGCTATTCATTTATTTCAGGAAGACAGTCGGCCACCACGTTGCTGCTCCTCATCTGCACCGCTGCTAACGAAGTAGAGTAAGGGCCACTTTCCTCCTGGGTCATCAGCGAATCGCTGACACAACCCAGCATCTGCTGTTGGACCAAGATGAAGGAATGAACTACAGCTACGTTCATTTCTGCTCTACTTAAAGCACTAAGAAAACCAGCAACACTATGGGAAAACACTCACCAGACATTCAGCCAGAACAACAAATAAGGAGTTACAAGGAAAAACAAAAAACCTCCCCACTTTTTCAGATGAAGATGCACTTCCACCCACTGTGAGTTACTGATTACCAGGCTTTGCATTCAAACAAAAGAACCCCAAACAGGCACATTTCACTTTCTTTCATTTAAAAATAATTGTTATTTGTTTTTCCTCACTGCCATGCAAAACCCACACATTTTTTTGAAGAAGAAACAAACATTTGGGTTTGTCTGAAATTCAGACCTCAGGGAGAGGACTTGCAGTAAAGGCACAGGATGCAGCAGGTCACTCCGAAAAGCCACGATACTCTTACTGGGGAAAGAGCTCCCGTTTTACCCAGCAGCGTGAGACCAAGACTCCAATCCCTTTTTCATCTAAAGTTGTTTGAGTTCACATCTTTCACCTCTTCAGAAAATGTACCAATACTTAAAAATATTCTGAAATCAGCCTTTTTTGATTTATCCTTTTTAGACTGACCCTCTTTGTATAAAGCACTGAGCCAGGAAGAGTAAGAGGGATTGAACCACAGGCTAAAAAGAAAATAATAAATTCTTCTGTTTCTGTATCTGCCTCAATAAACAGGGGGTAAAATAGTTCCAGCTAGGAACTACGAAATCCAACAAATATTTACGAGCAAGTTACTTCCAGAGCCGTGGTTTGGGAACACTTCTTAGGAAAAGGATATGGGTTCACAGACAAGGAATAAACTTGACTCGTTCCATCACGGCTTAAGCAATAGACACTACCCCTGGGCAAGAGGAAAAAAAAAAATAAAAAAAAAACAAAACTAAAAAACATTTGCAGAACCGTTTAGCAGATTGGGTTGCATTCACAGATTTTTTTTGGACTATGCAGAATTGATTTTCTTGGCAATCAAATTATTTTTCAAAGCAACAAACTGCCAAGATCTGCTTCTTATAACGCAGTATTCCCTGGTCACAAACGAATGAATTGTTTGAAATCAAGATATCTAAAAGAGGCATTTATAATTTGGCAATTATGAGACCAGCAGTGCAGGAATCAGCTGCCTCTGCAATTGTTTTGCTTTAGAAGCGATGCATTATTCAAAAGAATAGAAAATGGGTTCCATAATGCGTACAGGAGATTGTGATTGATAGAAGGAGACACCATTAGGACTGAATGTTTTCTGCTCCGTGATGATTATGCAGCATATTTATTTCACTCTTCTGTCTTACGCTCCTATAAATAGGCTTCCTCTTACCTATTCCCAGAGCTAGAATTGTTTGCAGTAATGCCAGAATATTGCTCCTATTAGCCATTACGAGAAAACAAAATCGGCAAGATATAGGAATGGTTTACATTCAAAAGAGTATCACTAATTTTAAAATAGATCTCCCAGATACTCCTGTGTCTAGCTGGCACCTGACTTAATGAAGATAAAAAGAAAAAAAAATTATTACCGGATTACGGTTGTTTACACTGTAGCTATCAATGCAGTCTCAGTGCACTTTACAGTCTGCTGGGACATATTACATAGTCAGTTTTGATCCTCAGCACCAGCTGACTTAGTTTAGGTAGGAGAACCAAACGCAACAGATATCAGCCCACAGAAACCAGTAGGGCTGAATCACTCAATTTTTCAGCTGTCTCTGCTTTCCAAGGCGAGCTTTCTTTCACCATTAGGATTATCAGATCTATTTTTTTCTCAGCAGCTGTTCCGCAAGTGAAATGCACAACGAGGTAAGCCCAAAGCTCAGGTAGCTCTCTAAGCTGAAGGATCTGGCCCCAAATTATTCATTTCACTGAAAGACCTACCCAGTAAAAAGAAAAATTAATTAACTGTACTATCTATAAATTACAATTTGTGACAGACAATTTACAGAAACCACCAGCTTCTCTTTGCTGATCCGATAGGTTGCATGGGAATACAGGAGACGGTAACGGGTACGGCGCGGGACTCGGCTGCGGGGCACAGGCAGCCCTCGGCTGCCCCGTGTTGCCATGCCCTCGCTGCACAAAAGCTGCACGGAGAAAGCCCTTCAGTGCCCTAAAGTGGTTTTTAGGCTGAAGACTGTATAGAACTGACTGTGCTGGAGCAAATCACAAGCAGTTTGGGTTTAGTACCTTTGACACCTCGATCTCCGACAACTGTGGTCGAAATTGGTCAGCAGATTTCCAGTGTTACTGGAGACAGAGAGACAATGGATGAGACCCTCACTCAGGAGACCTGACAAACTCATGAGTTGTGTCTGAGCTTCTTCTGGTGTTAAGTCTGCATCTCCAAAGCAGAGGTTTCCATCAGAGCCCTCCGCTCCCAAACTGCAGGAATATTTCCAGGCTTCTCCTCCGTAGGGGATACACAACTCCCACCCCATCACTCTACTCTGTCAGCGTAAGGTCTGCCTCAGCCCACCTTTGGGTTCATCACCCAAAGCTAGCTGGTAGTAGGGCACGCAGAACAGGAGGGTATTAGAACAGACGTGCTGTAAACCGAGACCAAATTTTCCGAGGAGTTAATTAAATCCTCCTTGCAGCTTTTCAAATGTTAGTTTTGACTGGGCCACACATGGAATATTACAAAATATGCCAAGAAAGCTTTTTCTGGCTCTGCCAAACCCACTAGACATCTCACTGCTTGAATGTTCAGGGTTTCCAAATGAAAAACATGGAGCTCAAACATTCCTCAGTAACCTACACAAACCGACCAGCTGTCCAAAGCCTGCCCAGCAGCGGTCATCTGGATCGCCTGCGACTTGCAGCTGTTACCATTGATGTGTAATTGCCTAACACACAAAACGGGGTTACACCTCTCAGCTCTTCCACAGGCATTCGTACTCGCTGGTCGCTGCCGAGTCCCAACTAAGCAAACTTACGTTAAAATATGTTCTGACACTTTTCAGTAAATACAGCCAAAAAGCTTTCCCGGACAGATGAGACGCTGGGCCACACTTACGCCACGATCCCCGAAAGGTGAAACATTTCGGCGGTGAGGTAGGAAAGGTAGCTGTAGAGGAAGAGAGCGGTTCGATGACACGGATATCCTTGGTGAATCGCGTCGTAAAGGCGGCGGTCATCCCAAAAATGAGACCTACTAAAACTCCTCCCAGCCCAACCACAAAGAATTGTCCAACTCCTGCAAAAACATCCACACTTTTGATGGCTGGCATTTCACAGAAAGATCGAAATAGCTTGTAGAGCACCTGGGTGAAAAATGGAAGAGAAAAACAGTCGTTAACAAGATATTCACCAGACACAGCCTTGACGTGGCCATGACATTAAAATATCCTGCTGAGATTTCTGCCAGTGTAGGGTCAGCATCCTGCTCTGGAGGGCAGGCGCCCAACGGGGGAGTGTTGTGCCTCTCGCATCCATTTCTGTCTCCAGACGTACAGTCGAAGAGCTGTTCACCTGAAAGCTTCTCAGGACCTTAGGCCAGAGAAGTGGACCAGGAGTCCTCTGCTAGAAGCAGCTGGTGATACCTTTTCCCTCTACAGAGCTCACATCCCACCTCTCAGCACCAGCCCATCCTTCCTCTGAACATTAAATACTCTGAATAAACGTTAGTCCTTACCACCGTCACCGCGTCGTTCAGGAGAGACTCGCCGAAGACCAAAATGTGCAGCTTCTCGTTGACGTGTATCTCTTCAAAGACCGCTAACACCGCCACGGGATCCACGGCGGCGATCAGGCTGCCAAACAGGAGGTTGTGGAGCAACGACACATCCTGCAGCCGAAAGGCTTTCACCTGGCAGATCCCGTAGAGGGAAAAACCGATCCCAAACACGTTCCATATCGTGCCCACAACCGCGTAGAGGAGGATAGTGCCGATGTTCTCAAAAAAGGGACGGCTGGGCATGAAGTACCCGGCATCAAGGACGATGGGTGGCAGCAGGTAGAGGAAAAAGATGTCGCTGTCCATAACAGGGGGTGACTTGTCGTTTAAGCCGTAGATGATTCCCCCCATGATGAGTCCTACGAATATCAGCAAACAGCTTTCAGGAACGACAGCAGGCAGCTTGTTATATAGATGAAACCCTGGAAGGGGATGAATAGGAAAAAAAAATAAAAACGTATTATCTCATCAGCCCAGACTGGCTGAAGAGCACCAGAGCCCAACCCTCGTTGGGGTCGGGAAGCTCCCCGTGCTCCCACCTTCGGCAGTCAACGCTTTGGAGGAGCAGTAACAACTGCACACAATTACAGTGAAGTCGCTCAATCAGAAACTGCCGAGAAAATCTGAAAGGTTACTGACAATACCAAGATTTCTGAAATTACTGTTGGTTCTGACTGCATTTCATCACAGCATAAGGTTAAAGATATATTTTTAGGAAATACACAAATAGGAAAAACCTAAATAAGCTGCATAAATAAAAAGGTATTTGGAATTATTTATGATATAATCTAGTTAGCACCCTGTCTTCAGCACTAATGTAAATGGCCACTGCTAATTTTAAACAGAATGAAGATTCTATACATTTAGAAAAAAAGCACAAAAAGCATTCTTACTAATCATGAATGGTGCCACTTTTAATATTATTTAATCATTAACATTTAAAGCTAAAGGCAACATTGAAAATCATGTAATCAAGCCAGCCTTGTGCAACACTCAATGTTAGAGAGAAATGCTGACAGCCACTGCAAGTACTTGAGGTGAGTTATTAAAAGAAAAATATTTGAAACAAACCTAACTGGAATAGGAATAATAATTTTAAAACCCCTGTGACCATTATTATTTCTTCACACATGCAAATAAAGTAGCAATCTCATCATATAATATGCAAAATAGCAAAACAAAAAGACCATTTCCATCTGCAAGAAATCCTGATCTAGAAGAATCTGAGACTTCTCCCTTCTGAGGAAAAAAATAAAATAAAAAGTGCTATAAAATAACTTTTATAGCAGTGATTTAACAGAATTGATCAGATTTCCCAGTGGGAAAAAAAATGCCCAGTTTTGCAGGGGAGAAAAAAAAAGATCGGTCCAAGTCATACAAGATATAATTTCTAGGTGTCGTTATACAGACAATCTCCTTGATGCAGGGAGGTTTTGGTTTAGGATGTTTAACACCCTGCACACAGACCGAGTTATTCCTCGTGGCTGGCCAGATGCAGCACCCTTTTTTCAGGCCAAGGATTCATCTGAAGATGCAGATGTCACTGGACAACCAGCACGTAGCGTAGCTGGCAAGCTAACAGCGACGAACGCACACCTCGGTGCGTGCTACAGTTAAATAAAATTCCTGGAAACCCTGACAGTTTTCCCACTAATAGCAACACCATGCACTGGTGTGACTTTCTAGGTGGAAAACCATTATTTCCAACCTAAAATGAGACCTGGTAGTGATTTTCCGTGCATGCAGTATGTCTGGCACACAAGATGTGCATCCTTCGGACTTGGCATGTTATCTCAGGCTCCAAGATTGGAGAAGACGTGAAGGAAAGGCCACCTCTGCCCACAGCATCCCCACGGGGAACCCCATCCTTCTTCGCCCTCTCAAAATGCCTTACCTATCTTGGCCAAGGATGCAAGCATGATCCAGAGTGTGATCTCAAAGGGGACTTGAACATGCTGATAATCCAGCGAGAAAAACGCGTGCTCTGAGGATTCGTTGCCCTGGGCCTCCTCGGCAGCCCAGCTGATGTTCTCCGAGACCAAGTCCTGCAGCAGCGGCATCGGTCGGGAGCCCTGCAGGGCTCTGACCCCGGTGGCTTGGAGGACGGAGGAGAGCAAGGACCCAGCTAGGACAGCAGCTGCAGCTTTGCCCACTGGCCTCTGCCCCTCCATTTGCCTGGGAAGCTGCCTGCCTTGGGGATTTGGCCGCTGGCTGCTCCTGGCCAGTAGCTCCAGGCAAGTGATTGGGAGCGCTGCTGGAGACACCGGAGCTCGGCTCGCCCTCGTTGTGTGGGTTGCTGCAAAGAGAGAAGTGACTGCCCTGCCTCACCCTGACTCTCCTCCCCAATCCATCAGCTTCCAGCCGGGAGATGCTGCGGGAGAATCGCACCCGTTGGCACCACGTGCCCGAACAGGCAGAGGCTCCTCCTGCAGATGCTTCCGTGAAGAAACGCCTCCTGCACCCTTCGACCAACCGCACATCTGTGCGCACCCGAAGAAGAGACGAGCTGCATTCTAGTCCTAAATCATGACATATTTTGGCTTCTTGGAGGAGAAAAACCAAAATCACAGCCAGGCTTTGATGGAGCAGATCCCACTCAGAACAGCCCCATCCAGAAATGGACCCATCTTCCAGCAGGCTTCACGGGATTTCTCATCCATAGCCCGGTGCGTGCAGAGAGAACGCACAGCAGTAACGTTATTGATCACGCAGCTTCCACTTGGTAAATCGAGCAGAGCAACCAGCTTTCCTCTGCCAAGTACAGAGCTGCAGCCGTGAGCTGGGTGGGTCACCTGCGCCAGGAGAACGAGCTTCTTGCTTCAAAGCTTCTCCCTCTGATAAGCACTAACAGGAAAAGTTCTCTTCATCTCTTCACTACTTGAAAACAGCACTGAAAAGTGAGTGAGCTTGCTTGGAAAAGTTGGAGAGACAAAAATTTATTTGTAACAGTGTTAGACATAATACAGAGGAAAAAACCATATTGGGCCACATCTCTCCACTGTGGAGTTTCATTGATGTTTCAACAGGGATGAATTTGGTCCAGAGAACACAAGTCATTAAAATACAGAGGCCTCGGGCTGTCGCTCGACTGGTCGATGGCCTGTTAGTTTCTCTCCAGCTGCCCCAATGACGCCAAACCCAGGCTGCCAACAGCAAGCTGGTGACCCTCTGCTCTGCTGCACAGTCAGCACCCAGCACCACGCAGACACAGACCTGGGGTGCCTCAGTGCCACGCGAGCTCCCCGTTTCTGAGCTGATCTGTACAGAAGGAGGAGGACAAACTCTGGGTGACAGGAGAGACGCAGGGATATCCTCCGAGTGACTTCCTTCTACTTTACCATGGTTAATTTGAATTTATAGTATGACTCTACCACGCTTGCTGTCTTAAAAAAAAAACACAGCTCCTGCCATTAGAGCTGTCTTCTACCGAATTAAGTTTTTTAAACCTGGTGCCACTTCTCCATTTGTATATTCTTAAAAAATAAACAAAACCGCAGGGCGGACACTGGGAGGACAGAAATCCCACAAGATTTTCCTCTGTCTGTTTTCCATTGTTCACTTCCAGAGGATCTGGGGTAGGGAGGAGAGGAGCAGGCGAGGAGATGGACTCCCTTGTTACTCTGAAGGACAGAGAACACAGTGCTCTTAACAGCAATTAAGAAGTAATTAAGAAATTACTTAGCCAGAGCTAAGAGCAGTGGAAGCAGTTCTGAGCCTGGGCTCGCAAGCCAAGCCATTCTATTTCTTCTTCTTGCTGATATATTTGGTGCTGAAGTTGGGAGTTTGAAGACTCGTTCCGTTTGGTGCCATGGAAAAGCAGGTTTGCCAGCCTCCCAGTCATTGCCCTCCACCCCCAGACCATCCAGTCTGATTTTTGCTATTTTTGGGAAAACGGCTGTTAGCATTGGCTTATATTTAGCCAAAAACGAAATGTTTGCATCTTGGAGGGAAAAAGACCTGCAGCGTGGAGCTCGACAGTGCTGTCTGGAAGTGTTTTTGTGCATAGAATCAATATCTATTTGATAATGGAACCAGAAAAAAACAGAGCTGGGACAGCATCTGAGGAAGGTCAGCGGAGAGCAGAACATTAAAATATGCTCCAGTTTTCAAATAAAGCTAACGCATAACCAGGACCTTAAGGACAAAAAGGTAACACCGGCATCTTCGCCTTAACTTCTCACTAAGCATCTCTGAACAGAGCAAAACACCCCGCGGTGTGAAGAAAAAGATACAAAACGTTAACAGAGGGGAAAAGGGCCGGAGCCGGGACCCCGCGCAGACTTCGTAACGGCACCGTCTCGCTGGATTCCGCTCTGCTCCTTCTGCCACGACGACACAGCACGCAGGTGGGTCTGGGCGAGCCGGCCTGCGTCCCGCCAAGCTTCGGGCACCTCCTCGGAAGCTCCACTGCCCTTCTCCGCTCACTTACTGGCTCGCTGTACCCAGGCCTCTGCAAGGATAAGGGAAGATTCTTTGCAAATATTTCGGATATCATATTTCATTAGTGAGAGCCTTCGAGTTTGCTTTCAGGATTTTGAAACTCCTCATTTTTCTGTTTGGCACTGTTTTACCCTGAAGTTCTATATAAATCAGCCCGTTCCTTCCCTTAAATTCGTATATCATTATGTACTAAATAAATGAAAAGACAAAGACGAAATGTTTTTCCAAAGTTCTATGATAACTGAATACGCGTTGTTCCTCTGGTAATGGCTATTGATGTTATCGATCCACTTCTTGATGCCAGTCCCATTTGATCCTATGTGTATTGACGTGCTTTCACCTTTTTCTAACATCATGTGCTTTCCCACATTTTTAGGTTTCAGGGCTAGATTCTGATCCCCATAGCTGCATTGATGGGCAGCTTGCTCCTGCTGGAATGAAGAAGACTACAAGAAGAACACAGTATTGTGCAATATGGTAACAGTGACAAGAATTCAAGCCCCTGCAATGAAAATGTGATGTTAAATTAACTGTGTTAACTCATTATATTCTTTAATCAATGGCAACAAATTATTTTTCTTACTTTCAGAGCGAAAGGAAGGACATGAAATCTTTTCTCTTACCTTCCTGATGTGTAATTACTTCTAAATATACTCTAACTTTCACCTCCTTTTTTTTGCTATGAAAGCCTGTATCATTTAATGAAAAAATAACAGATACAGCTCTCCAACAAAAGCCGTGGGGGACACGCAGAAAAGCTCCAGTAAAGTCACCCGGCCACTCCATCCAATCAGCTTGTTGTGAAAAGCTGAAATAATCGTTAATGATGTCTATACTTGGCATGCAAACATGATTTTTCCCACTAATATCAGAGCAGCCATTTGTTTACATGCATCGTCTAAAATTTGAAGGAGAAAGCCACTCTCACCTACGAATGTGCAAAATCTGGGTTTCCCCCATCAGAATGGAAATTGCTCATATTTTCCATGTATAATCACCTTATTGTTCAGCTTCTCCTCATTGTCTGCATTTTCCATTACATTTTAATAGGCGCAGTGAAGACTGTGCATAAAATACCGCTGCTCTTTCTGAAGAAGCCGTGACAGAAGAGTACATATTCCCAGCCATACGCAAGCCTGCGGGCAAACAACGACAACAT